CGCCCGGCGGGGACGGGGCTGCCGGGTTGTGGGCTGAGCCGAGGCGGGAGCGCGCCTGCGGCCCTCGGGGACGAGCGGCAGCGGCGCGCTATGGCAGAGGCTGGCCCTGAGGGTTGCCCTCAGCAACCTAAATTTAAATTGACCCTCTGGTAACCGGGCTTGATCTTACAAGCGCTTCCGCGCTTCTCCCCTGCGAGCACTGGCAGGCAGCCTCTGCGCGGTTCCCTACCGGGGGTTCACGGGATCGTCCCCAGTTTCGCCTCTGAGTGATTTAAGGCGCTCAGATGTGACAGTTCTGGCTAAAGCCTTTGTATTATCACCGCCACGGCTACGAGATAGGCCCACAGGAAGTGGGAAATCTGAATTTCGGGGGATTTGTCAGCTCTACAGGATCTGCTCGGCGCCGGTGGTAGGCAGAGGGACCAACCACGGGACGGACCTACAGAGAGCAAGCAACCCATGCTACAGCAAGGAGAACCACCCTTACCTTTAGCCCTGCATTTTCTCAGCTCTCTGTCCTGGATGAAGCCAGCGAACATTTGGGATTCCATGAAAACTTCCAAGAAGCGGCGGATACTCTTGGAGGCCACAGATTTACGGAAAGCCTCCCTTTGGAAGGCACGCTCTCCTTTTTCATTCTGGGTTAGGAACAGGGAATAATGGCCAACTGTCTCCACAAAGAATCGGATAAAAACCTCAGACACTAATCCATTCAGGGTGTTATATTCTGCAAAATAAGGCGGCAATAAGACACCAAAATCAGCTGCCACAGAGCTCTCAGCATTGCCATCCACCCGGGGCCAGGTACTGTCATCTGCCAGTTTACTGGTGCCATGTGAATAACTGGAGGAAGCGGTACAGGCTCCTGCATCCCTGGATATACATCAGATAGGGCAACCACTGTACAACCAAGAGTGCCAGTCTGCTTCACTGGTGTTTCATAACAAAGAGTCAACGAGAAATATAAATCCTCAAGAAACAGATCAGAAAATGAAAAAAAAAAATAGTGGGTGCTTCATCAAAATTATACCTCATATTTTAACTCTTGAGTCAGTTTTCTTGAGAAGCTTCTGAATGACTTTGAGAACTAAAATGTTTGCCCTACGGATAATAAAGACTTTACCATGAACTGATCAAAAAGGATACATTGTAGAAATTGGGTTTTCATAATTTCGGAGATGTTAAAATAGTTTTACATATGTAAACCACAGATGAGTGGAAATGTATTTCAAAAACTGAATAGGGGCCTGTTTCATACCTTCTAACCACAGGCATTTAAGTTCACCCTGGGCTGTTTTTATAATTGCTGGATAGAAACATGAACCTTCAGAGGCAACACAGCCCCTCCTGCACTGAAACTCTTTTCTGGAGATACCTGCTTCTCTCCCCTGAATATACCCAGTGCCAAGAGCACCTCTGAACTCAGACACAGCCCTGAGCATGTGTAGTTACCTGCACTGAACTGGGGCCAAGCTGACTGCAAACCTTTGTTGCCACTAAAGGTATCTGAGTACATAAGTATCACTGTCCTTTCTCCTGGATGGAAAGTCACAGTACTACCTACATGCTTGTTTATGCAAGTCCCTGTTTCCAGATGAACTTACCATCATCTGAATCACTATCTGAATCCTGATTTATTAGTTCATTCTTTCTCTCTAGAGCCTGCTCCAGAGCAGCTTGCAGTTTTCTAGGTAACAGTGTGTCTTCATCATCCATCTGACAGAGGAAAAACAGAATCACATTAATCTGTGCAGCAACCACAGCAAACAATTTTGCAAGGTTTAAAAAGCAGAAGAAAGGCATTTTGTATCTGCTACTGTCATGCCTACATTAAAAAAATAATGAAAATCTACGTGCAACTATGTTACATATACGTGCAACTATTTCTAAGCAAAATTTCTTAATTTTTGTCACTCTTAATAAGACTAAAGTCAGGAAAGATAATCCAAAGAGCAAGGAAAACATATTGAAACTTGGAGTGAGTTCTTTACATGACAGAGAGTCCAAATAGTTGTTTTTAACTAAACACACATAATGCAAAGTCTAGCTATGCGTATACACAGCTGCTCTAGTTGGTTTTACATAGCTTCTTTGGTTCCGGACAGTCGTTTTTACTTATATTCTAGTACATCCTGTTTTCTGGGTTCCCCCCTCACCTCCTGTTGCTCTCTTCATCTTATTTAATGCTTGTTCAGCAAAAGCAAGTAGACACAAGAATCTGTTCACCAGCCATATCTTCCAGGGAATCATACAAGAAAGTTTATTCAACTGACTTGTAGATAGTTATTTTTGAAACTATTCAGTGCCACATTACTATCAGGAGATGGTGATCCTTCATCTCTCTTTCTGACCTTCCCTCTCTCAGAGACTTTTCCTTGCAATTTTTGTCCTTTTCACCTTCAACACTGAGTTTTCTTGCTAACATGATGTTGTTATCTTTGGATGTTTTCTTTGCACTGTGAATACAGGTCCTGATTTCTTCTGACAGTAACATCCTCAATCCCTTTTGCACACCTGAGGAGCAGTACTTGTGTGCAGGTGAAACAGAAAACGAGCACTTTTTTTTTACTCCTTATCACCTTCCCACTGCACAATTCCTGCCAAACATCTCTAATCAAAGAAACCAATACTACTATAGGACTAAAAAGCTTGCTAGGCTGCATGGCAACATTTTGAGCTGTCCTTTACCTGTCTGATGAATCGATCAGATCCCAGGTTAACCATCAAAGCCTAAAGAAAAGAAAACGCTGTAGTGAAATATATCTGAAGAGACAGAAAACATTCGTGTCTGCCTTTTAATAGCGAAAGATCATTCAAATGGTCCCAAGGCTCAACATGAATTAAATTCCTACTCTCAAGCAACAGGTTGTGTGCTTTATAAAGCAGGAAGATTAAGTTCCTTCTTTAGAAAAGAATATGTCTAATTTGACAAAGTTAGATACAACAGATCTCACACTAGGTGAATAAGTAAAAAAAGCCAAAAGCATTAGGCAGGTCCTTTTTTTTTTTTTCCTTAAACCTAAGGAAGTTGTTGCTAATGATTTTTGTTAATGTGCAGAAGAAAAGTACTTCAGACGGGTTGAAAGAAAACAGTGCCATTTGGGGTAGCAGGACCTGCGAAGGGCGAGAGTACGAAATGTTAATGATAATGAAGCAGCAAAGCTGAGAGACAGGGCTGGGAAAATGTGAGAGCAAAGCTAGGAAAGTGGGAGGAAAACAGAGCAGAGATTTGCATGGGCCAGAGGCACAGAGAACCTTGAAAACAAGCACAAGAGAAGAGTATTTCAGAAAAATGACAGGAAACTAACAGGAGTAAGAGAGAAGAGTGTGCCCTTGAGGATTTTTGTGGTATTTTACTGGAAGAACGGATGAAGTGCAACTCTCATTTGATTTCCAATGTAATATTAACAAAGTCTTAGAAGTAAAAAAAGAAAAAAGCCTTAAAGGTCTTATTTTCTGTGCTGGCTATGGCTTCACACACAACTTCCATTAGCATTAACAGGTGGCATAGCAGACGGTGCTTTATGTCGTCGTCTTCTTGTTCCAGATAAAATCAGAACAAATCAGAATATTTGCACTGTACTTACTTGTTGACCAGGTCAACATTCACTTCTGTCTGTCAAGGTGCCAGGTATGAGAAGGGAGGCGGAATAAAGGGAAGACTAAATCTACTGTGCAGTTTTACCAGAAGGCAGTTGCACATAAGAATTAGGCAGAGAAGAAACAACGAGGCAGATTAAAAATTAAACGCGTGACAATTTATGGGCAAACAGCAGGTCCTCTCCAGGGTGAGGCCAGCTTTACTCCAGGCAAACAATTCTGCTGCCTGCTCCTACCTCCTCTACGGGCAGCTCCTTCAGTTTGGGCAGAGAGCTGGAAAGCAGCCCCACCAGGAAGGGGGTAGGGCAGCACACAATGTCGATCATGGAGGAGGGCAGGACAGGAATGAAGGTGTGCTGCCAGGAGAAGGGGTACAGCAGGGCCACCACGGCGTGTGAGCAGCTCGAGAGGGTGCTGGGGAGAGAGGAACAACCATGTTAGCAGAGCTCCTTCTTCATCCAGAATGCGACGTGTTAAAATGCACCTGCCCAAGGGGCTGCCCCAGTTTCCCAGGATCCAACTTAACAAATCACTTCTGACTTCAGACAGCCTCGGTGCCGTTCCAGTCCGTACGCCCTCTGCACGGTGTGGTGTGGTAGCTCCTCCCATCCCCACTTCTACGTGACTTGAAACTTATGCTAAAAGATTAGAACCGATTTGTTTCACTGTAGCAGTCAGGAAACATTTTGATCTAGAAGACGGGGCTAAACGTCCCCAGCTGCACTCAACAGCAGCCACTCTGAACGGTGCTTAAAATCCAAAAGCAACTTCAGTTCTTAGCTGTTATGCAGTAGTAACAATGCATAAAATGAATGTTCTTATCACAGAATTACAGAATCACAGAACATGAGGAGTTGGAAGG